TCCCCGAGACACCTCCGTCGAGAAAACGTGTCTCATTCATGAACCGGTTGAGTAAGAGGAGATTCCACGGCTGGCACTTAATCAGACTGTCCCTTAACATGTGATTTGACGCACATCACGCTTCGTGCTCGCTTCTACCGCTCTGTTCTTCTTGAAGCCGCGACGCGGCCAACAACAACTCGCCACTGTGCGTGCCCTTATTGCCACTCTCGCTAATTAACTATAAATTGCTTCTTGCAGCTTCGTTACGGAGAGAAGAGATCCGCCGCTATCGTTATAAGCACATGCGTAAAATCCAGAGAAAGTCCATCTTTTGCCATCTTCGTTCACTTTCATTTGCGCGACCTCTCCTTTTTCCTCTTTCCTCCTTTTTTCATAGAATGCTCAACGCTCTATTCGTTCACTTTAAAAGTTGATGAAGAAGATGAATGATTGGACAAATGGATTTAGAGGCTGTGGGTGGTCGAGAGCTACTAGCACAAACGCTCTACAACCTTAATCTGGGTATTAAGAGTCCGAGTTAGAAGTCGATGAGGGTAGTCGTGTATGCAACAGATTAGAAGAAGAACGAAGAGTGAAATAGAGGAACGAAAGTCGAGAGACCATTATGCATTCAATGCATTTATTAACCTTCTTTCGTTTCTCTACGGCGCGATTCCGCGCTGTGAACATCATCGACGATGACTTTCACAAAGGCGTGCACTGTTTCGAAAGAATTTCGTAAGATCCGAGAGGAGTTGGCGAACGACGTTAACCAAACGTTAACGTCCGTGTGTACCGACACGTACCAGATGTGAGTTACGTCCTATCATAGGATTTATTATCAAGGACAAGTGGCTCGCGAATAGTTCATAGAAGTTAACAGGCAAATGGCGTCAAATTGAGCTGCTAACGTGGACCGAGGTCGAACGATTTCCGACGTGCCCGACCGATATGCATTCCTTCTTTCCGTGATATCACGCGCGTTTCCAATCCAAAGCTTCGTCAAATTCAAGCACATGTTAACGAGATTAGCGACGTGCTCTTGTAGTAGCCTTATTCACTAGCTATGTATACAAGATTGATCATTTCAGAATATAAAATCAGAAACGTCTGATTTCTTTTCTCATTCTAGCGATATCCCGGATATCGATGATCGATAGTAGACTCTTAGTTTTTCCCCAGTTTGACATCTCTGGCTGTGGCTGCTGCCGCATAAATGGGCTGCTCGAGATTTATTACGTACGTAATCTTCTTGCAACTCGATTCTTCGTGCTGGAGGAAGTAAATTATTTGTGTATCTCTGAGGAACGAAGATTCATCTCGCGTAGCTTGCGTAATGGAATTAAAAATACACATTGAATCCATTTTCCACTTATATTCCTGCAACGTGAACGCAAGAACGAAGGACACTTCGCTCTTCTTTGTCCGGCTCGGAGCATCTCGTGGCCCAATCTCGGGGCGTATATCTCACCGCGAAATTTACGACCGCGTAAAAAAAAAAGTGCAACGTGCACCTTAAGAACACGCGGGGGACGAGGCCACAGACAGACGTCTGGCTGGTAAAAGTTGGTCGGCTTGGAGAAACACAGGCTCGTGATATCACGAGGTTTCACCTCGTCGCGTCGTTCGTTGTTTGCTTTGATTATCGTGAATCCAGGAAATTTCGAGATGTTTATCCGGCGAGGGCCAGCTGAACGATAACGCACCTTTGTGCATCGTAAAGGGTACACTTACCGTGCACCGTGAAATTTTATATACGCCTCGCGAGAGGAGATTAATTGCGGTAGGAGCTCAACGGAGCTTGGATTCCGCGAAAGCGAATCGCGGTTATAGAACTGCCTCTGTTGATTTCCCTTTCGCCAGTACGAGTCGCATTTGCGAGTTATCCTCTCCTCGTCGCGGCTTGTTGTTGTGTAACAGCTGCGGAGGTCTGCTCGGCTGAAATTGAACCGAGAACGCTGATTAATCGCTACTATTTGTCCCGGACACCTGAGGAGGAAGCTGGTAAACCTTTCGGTAACCCATCCTCCAGCGACGAGATCGGAATCGAGATTAAACCTCACCTTCCCTTCGAGGGAAAACTGTACACGGTGTTTCAATAAGTCGGGGACAACCTTTGACAGCGTGTAGTATTTATCGAAACGACGAAGTGTTGACAAAGGGTCTAAATATCGTTAGTTTTGTAGTTGGAAGACTTAATCGGCAATGTGTTCTTCGATAAGGAAACGATCAGTCACGCACAATTTATCTATTTTGTGACAAATTTTTGATATGAGTATATAATACAATGAAATGTATCTGCAACATTATCAGAGACTCGGCGGTTCAAACTCTTTCACTTGTCAGGAAGACTTTCGGCTTGTTTCAATGGCCATTACACACCCTTGAGGTCTAACTAGTCGCAACTTCCTGAAACAACTTGTACAAGAGAGGTTCCCAGGGAAAATCACCAGTATCTGTTGCTTTGCTCTCGGCGAACGATTGCGTTTGATTGCAGATAAGTTAATAGCTTTATTAGGATAATTGATAGTTGGTACGGCGTTTGTAACGTGATATGGTTAGCCATTTTGCCATTGAGATGCCTGCCAATAACCACAAACGCATACCATATCTCGAGTCTCTCGTGGGAACTGAAAGTCTCTCTCGGCAGAATTCCACTTTGGAAACTTTCTTCGACATCGGCGTGTAGACGCGTGTGGACGTTATGCAATATCGTGCTGAAACGGTGACTCGTGACAGTGGCTGTTGGTATTCGTGTCATAGAGTCGCGAGCCAATCAACGAAAGAAATTGTTCTCCTCCGTTTTTTTTTTTTTTCTCCCGCTCTCCTGTCCACCGGCGACACAACTATCGATAATGCTCTCTTCTCTGTTACCTTTCAAAACAATTCCGCGAACGTCGAATATTAAATCCGTGCGATGATGATGTTGTGTCGGACAGAGGCGGCCCCCACCCCCCCCATGTTGACCCACATTTCAAAGAATCGTCCAATAGTAAGCCGAACGGTATTTCGACGGTATTTCTGGCTCGCGTGATTCACACACGAGAATACACGAGTATATACGTGTACGCAATCCGATAAAATTTCAAATATCCGACCCGACACAGTTTGGTAATTAGGCGACACCCTAACCAGCGGTAGGTAATGTTCGTGCGGTCACGCCAGGTTTCGTTGAACTTTCGCCTCTAGTTAAAACAAACTGTTGGTTCGGCTTTC